CTAAGATTGCAGGAAATTTATAGTTCAAACTCACCATAAATTTCTGGAGTATTATTGTTTGACCATGGAACTCAGCGATTGGAAATCAGGCAGGCAGTGGTCAGAAGGAAAGATATTACGGGATAGTCCATAGTTTAAAAGAGATTGAAATGTTAAGCGAAGAAACAATATAAAGAATAAGATCCAGATAACTGTTTAGTCCTTGCTTACGTTGCTAGTGAACGTATGTTTATGTTATTTACAGATCATATTTGCTAGAGCTTGATGTTTAAACAAGTTTATTTCGCTGAAGCATGTAAACGCTATTAAAGCTTGTTAATGAACCATCGAAGCTAATTAACATAGACGACCAGTTATTAGTATCGATTGGGTTAGTATGCTATGAGTGCTAGTCAATATAACATTACGATCATGCATGTGAGCATTAATCAGAGTACTATTAGAAAACTGGGTTTACATAAATAAAAATCGACCGAGAAAGGTAAGGTGGAAATACGGATTAACAGCAATAGGTTGCGTTTCTTTAGTCGGGATTACCAATGTGGAATCATGGTCAACTATGATATTAGCACTGTTCTAATAATAGATCTTATCCTAGAATGGTAGATTTGTCGTGATGTAACTGCCTAATGTATAAGATTCCACGTGGAAGTCACATTATTATCTACACCACCTCATCGCATCGTAACAACCATTAATATATGATGAAGAACACACTTAGGCTGGAGATAGAACAATATATTTAATATGGATAAAAGATATGGGGCGACATCCATTCAATTCATTGTTCCCGCTTTCTTCATCGTTGGGTTTTTCTCAAGCATTACATGTCGAACATCTATTTTCCCAAGTGTCTCCCCTTCAGCTTTGAGGATTGTGTGAGTAGGGCTCAATGCCACTACAAACTTACTCCAAGCAATGTATAAAACTGCCATATCGGAAGAAGATTGAATTATGGGTAACTTCTAGGAACTATTTATAGACTGTTATTATATATATGTTCTTATTGTATAGATGTTAAGTAACTAGATTGTATATATTTATATTCCTTTTATCATAAGCTTTTGTTCGACCTATTGACTACTATCATGTGATTTACTGTTCATCAGTTATTACCAATTTATTGGTCACATTCTCTCAAAATCACGGCCACGTTTTGGCTCAATCCTGTATGATTGTTATTTCCATTTCATAGTATGAAGTGGTTTAATTAGCTTGTTTATAAACTAATTGTATCCGAAATATATGATTTCAACAATGAAAGCTGATATTGGTGTTCTGAACTCAACAGGTGGGGCTAGACGAGAGGGACCAATAAGGAGTCTGGGCTTCTCATACCGGTCAATACGTCAATGCTTTGGCACAGTGATAAGATCGTATAAGTTGTGTTCTGATTGCCGATCTTATCATGTGCAAATGGGCAGGCCACAAGTCATAACAAAAACCTTCCTCTTGAGTAACACAATAATTAAAGGAAGCAAGTGAGAAGTGAAGTTAGACAAGGACCATGCAGAAGATGTTGAACTAAGTGTTAAAGTTAGTTCTTCTTACTCAGTCAGCGATATTTATGAGGACTTAATGGGAGTGAAACCTACCTCAATATACCATCGCTAATTTACTTCCCATACTAATTACTACATTATATTCAAGTTTCTTTCATCTGTCTTCGGGTAAAATAGGTTAACAATTAACGTTCTGAGTAGCTAACAAAACGACTTATTGTAACTCACTTACTTTAACGGTTATTGAGAATTCTGAACGATAGAGGGCTTAAATATTGTCTTACAAATAGTCTATATGACATCGGGACTAATCAACACATCTACGAAACTCCTAGCTTTATTCCGTCATCAGATTGAAAGGTCAGGAAAGAAATTTAAACCATCGAGTTAAAAATTTTATTACATTCCAATCGGAAGTAAGTCAAACTGACTGACTTTATTCAAACACAATTATTATTCCCTTCATCACTCGGCACAGGAAAATAAGAAATATGCTTCCCAAGTAAAATAAGGAAGCGAGCTACCCTGAACCCGTATCGAGATGCTTTTATCTTGATAGCCACCGGATGGTTGACAGTTCTGCTAAGCTCCATACCTTTGTTTGCTACAAAGTGACATCCCGAGTGAATACCAAAACATGAGATACTTAAATGATTGTTCAGTAAACCTAGGGTCTTAAAACAGTAATCAAAAAATTTAACCGGAGTAAGACTATAGATCATGGAGATCGAAGTACATTTTAAAAGAGCTTTTCAAGGGATCAAAACAGATTCAGCAGAAAACTCAAATAGAGACTTTCTTTCAAACAGATAGCTTGAGTTCGGTTTGGGTTTGCAACTGTTAATACGAAAGTTCTAGGGTCTAATCATCAGATAAGGAAAAAAATTGACTGCAGTTGAGTAATGTGAAATTCATTTGTGCACAACCTACGTTTGTTCGTAAGTATATTAAAAGAGGTCAACTAACTCCTCTTTATTCGTTAGAAGGAGGCCCACTACTGACATTCAGTATGACAGTCGTATGCTGGAAAGATTATCCCGCTCTACTCGTCTCGGATTCACTTGCATCCTAGTTTAGGGGACGTCAACGTTCCTAAAGTCAAGTTCATGGCACATACGTATATTGGAGATGAAAACCACTGGGGCTCGGTTCTTGAACGTCATTGAGGATCTGGGATCATTCAAAAATGTGAAGTCGGCAATTCGTTGGAGAAACTGTCAGACGCAGTCGCGCTTAGACTGGGTATTTACAAACGAAGTTTGACGGAAGAACTTTCCATATAGTCTCCAGCAGTTTCATTCGTCCCCGTTAAGAGTACGGAATCATAGTATTTCCTCCGTCACTGCAAAAGGATAAGGACACTCTAGAGCGCATCGAACGGCCAGCCACCAAATCATTTCGGGGACTCAAATTCAAGCCTTATAAAGAGCGCCGCCATTCACTAAACCTTTACTCATTAGAGTACGGGCGTCTTAGAGGTGACCTTCTAATGGCTTACACTATCCTCAACACTTATGGACATCCCCTAAAACACCTACTTAAGTTTAGCTCCAACGTAACCCTAAGGAGTAACACCCAGAAACTGGAGACAGAACACAGCAGAACGGACTGTAAACGTGACTTCTACTCCTTAAGAGTTTTCAAATGCTGGAATTTGGATGAGCTAGTCCAAGCGACTTCCCAGGAGTCCTTTAAGCGGAAACTTGACCTATTCTTAGGTTTACTAAATTATTTCCCCTTTATTATCGTTAATATACCTAGGCTCCTGCCTGAAGGTGTTGGTGTTCTACTATTACTAGACACAAAAGCTCGTTAAGCGACAGTTTCTTCTATTCCGTCCACAACCATTTGAACAATTGTTTAAATATAGTAATTTGTAAGTTCCTATGCTACCAACATGAAACTTGTTTGTGTGCCGTTTGGTTATTGTTTCCTCATAACATCTGAAGCTTTATATCATACCACCGAGATATAACGTTTGTAGGTTTGAATGTTTCTCAAAACTTCTGAATATATTTGATAAAACTCACAAAATAAAAGAAAAAATTCATTTTCTCGACTTAACTTCCATGATTGCTTGGTTTTCTACTGTTTCTATTCCACTTGAATAAAAGACATGTCTATTGGTTTTTGTTTCTTGAAAGCAAGTGAGGCAAAGCGTTAAATAATGACCAAAATGCCTTCATTTCGCTGATATTTTGTACATGGATACTTATTCGTATCTATAGTTACCTAACCCAGTATTTAAAATTTTTTTAACCACTTAAAAATGTCTGATAAAGGGGTGTGCTTTATTTATAAATCCGAAGACTATGTAAGTAATTGATCGACCCATACGTCAGAGCTTTCAAAACTGAAGACTGACTGAAAACAGATTGGATGAGATTTTTCTTAATATTTGAAAATGAGATAGAAATTCTGGTTTTAGATTTCTTGAATTCATCGACATGGTGGCATTTAATATTGATTTAAGTTCAACTTTAAAACCCTTTAATAGAGACAGCGATAGTTCAGGACGATGTGCGCTGGAAAGTCCATGAACTCGATTCAACAGGTTATCTATGATTCAACCTTATCACATACAATCCCAACGATTGGGTAACAAAGCCACAGTCACTTGGTCAAATAGAAGAAAAGATTAAGCTTCTGATATGTTGTTTACGGAGCAGTGTAGATCAGTCCGCCTTGGATCTCACCGCAATACTGCTTGGGGCCTTAATCCACCTCAAAGTCAATGAAGCCTATCATATGTTGCCTAATATGTTTAAAGATCCATACATTTTCGCTAAACCACAGAAGTTTTCCATTTTTGTTTTGAAAAGCTATTCACCAATGCACTAAAACTTCATTGCTTTGCGATAACTTGGTAATAATGGAATCATTTAAATCCTGTCAGTCTGTCTAATAATAAAAACCTCGAGACATCCAACATTACATAGTTTGCAGTTTAGTCTCGTTTTGTTTTTTTTGTTTGTGTATGAAAAGTTTGTGTTTTTCATGTTTTGAAAACGTATCATTCTTAATTTCATCTGAGCTTCTCAAAATTTATTTCTTTGTCTTATAGACTTACCATTTGAAACTGAATTTTCCGTCTTGTAAAATGGCTTTGGATACCTATTTAGTGTATCCATCGTCATTATCGTGGGTATTTCTTCATAAAATATCAGCAGTATCTTATTTATAGACATAAGAGTTTGGTACCATTCATGACCATCATTCAAGAAAATTATCATAAAATATAACACATATCTAATTGCTGCCACAAAAACCTCATCGCAGTATGATTTAGCACTTACCTTTTAATACTAAACTCGGTGCTACAGTGTAGTTTAGTTAGGGTTTTCCCAACATGCATTGTTGTAATTCACCAGTTCAGATGCAAAAGTAGTACTCACATAAAAAGTTACTTGAAACAGTTAGTGATGACTTGTACCTTACTTTAAGTTACATTTGAAAGATTTTTCTGTATACTGGAAACAATTTACCAAAGTTTTCGTAAATTCATAACAGCTTTATACTTTTTAAATTATATGGCTAAAAAGACTACCAAACATTTACATAGTTTTCACGTTTACCTTCAACTAAACATTAAAAGTAAGTTTCAAGCCTTCATCACCAGATTTTATATCCTTCCTGACAGATGTCTGGGGACAATAAAGGAAGCAACTAATGTTCTTGGAAACGGTAAGCAGCTTCATTTTTGTCAAAATAATTTGTGTTCTGTGCATCCCATCTGTTGTTTTTGTTTATCGAGTCAGATCAAATACGTTAGTGACTATGTTTTTTTTTAACTGGAGATCAAAGCAACGATTTTGTATTTGCGACCTAGCATGACATCTTGCAATCTTTACGTATCTCTGTTGAAGATTCTGTGTCTCAAATATATCGTACGTGATATAGAATCAATTTTAAATTCACACATCGATATGAAGTGGTTTTCTCTCAAACAACTTAACGCAATTTCATTGTATTAATTGAGTTACCGTGATTATGCGTTTGACTTCAATTTCTCAGTTTAATACAACTCCGCAACTAATGATCATTCGGTAACCAATTTATGATTTGAATGAACCCTAGTGCAATTCAATCCTTTTCAGGCCTCTTTCAGGATAAACTTGTTAACAAACGGAAACTTCTCACTCTAGTAAATAGGCGGGGAAGTAAGGGATAGAAATAATCGCACTCATTAAATTCAAGTCGGAGTTCTGAATAACTAGTTCAGCGCACAACTGTATCTGTTTGAGAAAAATCTCGAAGGTTATTTTGAAGAACACTGACGAATTGCATTTGAAATAATGCTGATAAGTGATACCTAAAGTAAAACAATATATCTTACGTTTTTACAACTTCTTACAGGTTTTACAGAGAAAAATGCATATGAGGCTGTTTGCTCATTCATATCTCCAGATTTTCTTTAGTTTAGTAAATTTCTGCTTGTTGTTACTTTTAGCTATTTGTCTTGCATAATGAGTTGAATCAGTCAGTTTGAAAAAATATTAGAAACTGACTCATTCAATAAACAATGTTTGAACCGTGTTATAATACTCCTGGAAGAATTCCAAGTCCACAATATACCCAACACGTTCCTCCAATCCTATTTCGTAAACGTACTGAAAAAATTGATTGGAAACGCTTAGGTGAGTCTTTGTCCTGCTAAAATCACATATGTATGCATTCTTTAGGTGACATAATACTCAAAAGCGAAATTCAAGTTCTCTTGACCCAGAGCCTAGTTGTATTTAATTAACAAGTTATTTTATTACTTGTAGTTTTGGTATCTTTTTCTTCATATTTGATCAGTAAAAATGAGTAAAATTGTTTAATAAGCTCTATAAAATAATTAAGTAAATTGATTCTGGGCTTTTACTAATTATCATTGCCTCTGAATGTCGAAACATTTTTTCGTGAATCTCAGTTACATTTTTCTCTTTGTTTTCTATCCACAGCGTCGATTGATGTAAACCGTATAACAAAAGATGTAGATATTGAAAGCCTACAAGAAATATTATCGTCTGTCACATTCTGTGATATAACTAACGAAATAGTAAGTTGTGTACAAACGATCTTTTAGATAAACAACAAGCAATAATTTACTGATTGGTCCGAATCTATCAAAATATTTCTACAATTTAGTCGAACAGTTAGGGACTATGTTATTTTCGTTCAACATTCGTTACATACAATTATCTTGCTGTAGATCGGACATTTTAGCTACAGTTGATTCCCAACGTAACTTTGAAGTGACAAAAAAACCAGAGAATAGAAACTTCATTTCATTCTGACATGACCCAAAATTTCTAGTGGCCGATTGAGATTATCGTGTGGACTCCAACCAGGTAGTCTGCACCTACCACCACAGCTCAATGCAATAGTCATTGACTTCATGGACTAATGTTACTTTTTGATTCGGCTGCCCTTAACTTCATTCAGCCTACTACAGCGGAAATTGTACATCATAGTAGGTGGTAGTTGGTCATAAGTAACAAGTTTCTCAGCCTACTCAGTTGATGAAGATTCACAACTGCATCGACTAGTTTACTACACTTTGTTATCACCCTACTCCTAGCGTCAATATTTTTCATTCAGTTGTCCTACGATGACCGAGAAATGCTTCGAGAAAATTCATCCTCAAGAAATTACGCCTCAGAAATTTCCCCTACTTTTGAAACCCATGTTTCATATCTGTATAGTAATAACGAACACATAGTATACTTGTTCTTTCACTTGCTAACAGACATATCGCCTATCCCATGGGTGACGCGATTTGGCGAATTCCAAGTGAGCTTTCTGAATTCATGATAAAATTTTGTTAGATACTGACTCATCAGGATGAATGAAACCTCCAGTTTAGTTAAGGTGATAATTTGTTACAAAAAGTGTCTGTTCATCATTTTACCGAGGCGGTATCGAATCAACTAGGCTGTTGGTCAACGTCTTGATCTACTGTACAAAATATTTAATATTAACGTTATATCCAAAATTACATAAAACTGAAATGATTTTAAAGTTTAACAGAGTGGTTATGTCGCAATGACTTATTGTTCAAAATTGATCGTTCGCTAAAATTAATCTTAAATTCACTTAGACACTGATAACGGGCACATGCAGCTAGTCAGTGGGTTGTTTTTTCCCGAGAAACATACTAATAAATTAGTGGACGTGAATAGTCATTGCCGTTAATATAAATTTAATTTACGTAAATAAAAATCAAATTCATCTGTTCCGTTCGAAACATCTCCGTAAGTAGTTTTAATCAATTCTTCATTATTTATTAGTATAGGGTTATGGAGATTGTTGAGCTGTGAGATCATGGATTGATCAATGTTAGACCGCCATTGTAGACCTGCAATATCGTGGATTGGCTGAAATTAGACACTAACGCTGAACTGTGGATGCATACTGCTGAGGAGTCCATAATAGGGCGAAACGGCCATCCAGTGCTTCTAGGTCTTCAATGATGGTCTAACATTGATCGATTTATGAGCTCAATTACTCATTATTCGATAACTCATTATTTACTTGTCAATTTTATGGCATTACACGTACTACTTAAGTTTGTATATAAGTAGTATGTTTTATTATTTAATCATCCTTGTAACCGTATATATTTTTTATTATTTACTAGATGAAAATTATCTTATTTTATTTTTTTTTTCAAACAGGATACACGTTATGTGGATAATAACTTGATAAAACTATTTCAACTTGCTCAACTTTTAGTTGAATATTTATTGGTAAGCAGTAGATTTACGAATACTAAGTCAGTTGTGTATTCAGATTCGACATCTTTAATATTATTAATTCAGAAGGAATTTCCTCATATTCACGCATAAACAAGCACTGAAGAACACAATTCCTAATTCAAGAGTCTTCTTTTTCTAAATATCTTTTAGTGTTTAAATAATACTTTAAAAAACATGAGGTCCAGTGAAGGGATCTCTTTTCAGCGAATTTGGTATCAAACTATACGATCGAATATATTTTTTTCCACAGTTTACTTCACAAGTCGATCTAAGCTAGACCACCAGTGGAAGCGTGGAATAACTGGATGTTGGCTTCGTCCTACGATCACGCATGTGGGACTCGAACCGAGGACCTTCTCTCATGCGTGAACGCTTAACCTCTAGACCACTGAGCCGGCATCCAACGGTATTAATGTTTAACTTCAATCTATCCATGATCTTACAAAACCCTTCATCCATTGCTTGAGATGGATAACTGTTTCACACTATACATGGATTGGATTCCATTGATCACGGCTGATCAGTAGAACTCCAGGAAATCTATCTCGATGCTAGTCACTAGTGAGCACATGACTATTATCAGTATGGGGATTTGTGGAGATTGTAGTATTTCCACACTTAAATTCATAAGTCGACCTAAGTTAGGAATTTTTTCAAGTATTTATCCAGTAAGGACCTATGAACAAAGAATGAGTATGATAATATAATATAAAGATTACAATATAAGATGATGTAATATTAATGATAACACTAAAAGATTGTGTGTGTGCAAATAAAAAGCCTTATAAAATTAATAAGTTAACAACGTAACTTGAATGGAGTAAGATAAACGTTTGAATAAACGAAATGAGAGGGAAATATTTTCAAATACGAAATAAAATAATAATAGTTTGAGGTTATGGTAAAGATAAGGTTTAGATGCACTTCATTTGTACGCACAGTTCTGGCTTCATTTCTTAGATGGCAAGAGCTGTTGTTTTAAGGAGTTAGATATGAAGAAATCTAGGTTGATTTGAACGATTTGTATAAACAACCTTAAAATTAACCTGTGGATTAGCGGAGTGATTAGAAATTTCATGCAATTGGTTCCCTTTATGAATTTAAATAAAGCAAGAACAAATATTGGTGCAGAATAGTATGAATTCATATTATTTCGAGGTTTCTCGTCAGCTGCTTACAAACCAAAAATGTTATAGAATTTTTACATTGAGATAGAGTGAAAACAATTGACATAGATGAGTGTAAATAACTGGGTTACAATAATAACTAATATATATATATATATATGCTAGAACAGGTCAGAGGTCAAAAGGAATTAATTCGGGTTGGAAGGTGTAATAATGGAATTAAATAATCATAAGATAGGTTACGTAATAATAATTAAATAGAATTTGAAAAGTTAAGATAATTTAAGAGGATCAGGTGGTGGAAATGTGTGAATAATAATGTGGTTTAAGTATTATGTAATAGGGGAGGAGTATAAATATTTTAAAGTAAATAAATAAAAAAATAAAATAAAAAAGGGTTACCAGGGTAGTGATAAGTTAATTAAAGTCTCTTTTTGAATGCATAAGTCAGGTTTAAGTTTTTTGATCATAATGGCTTCAGCAAAACGGAGGGTGATCGTACTTCTTTGTCTATTGATAATTTTGAAAGCATGCGGAATGTCGATGGTGTGCCCAGTGTCAAGTAGATGTCGAGTTATTGCGTTGTTGAAAGCCTTAGTCCCTCGATTAGATGTTCAAGAATGGAGCTTCTAATTTCTTGATAATAAATTCGTTTAAAAGAGGTCTCTTTGCTGAACTTCTTATTTTTTTACTATTTAAATAGGAATTATAAATCTATTTGAAAAATATGTACATTTGACATTTATACTAATGATCACACTAAATTTAGAACATTAGTGACGCTTAATGCGTGACTGTGATGAATATCTGAAGGTAGTTATTATTTTGAATTTCAACTTTTGAAAGCTAGATAACCACACTTGAAATACATCATATTCTATCAAGATTGCAGTAAATCATCGACTTTAGGAAGCGTTTCTATTCAGTTTAACCGATGTTTGTTATACTAAATATTTTTAGTTAACCATTTCATTATCTTCCTGTTAATCTTAGAGAGAAATCTTCCACTTTTGTTTACATTTGATCGAATAGTTTTATAGTATTTGGGTGCCGAGTTAATCTGAGACATTAAGGAAGCATAATGCATTTACAAAATCTCAGAAAATGAATTTAAAGTTAATTCAACATTTTGCCCTGATAATATTTGATAATTTTGATGTTTGAAAAAGCTTGGACCAGATTGCCAGTCGAAACGTTGAATTTACCTCAACGTCATTCGCTGAAAGTTTTACCAATATATTCTTCCTCTTTAATGTCTACTGATATTTGATAATAAGAAATGCGCAATTATTACAATCCTAATTCAAGGTTATATTTTATCTTGTAGCATACTTTATCTTGCCTACTCCAAAAAATACATAGTTCTTATAAAAGAGATACAATGACAAATACATATCGTATTCACTATTCCATTGATTCTCATATAATTTACAAGATAACTTTCGTTAACATTTTTCATAATCCCATTAATTGTTAGATCACTCTAATTATCTGTAAATTTTCAATCTGATTAATCTATATTAAATATCCCTCAAGGAAAATAAGGTTATATTGATTTATACTAAATCAACTTAACTTTTCGTTTGATGTTAAGTGGTTAGTAGTATGAATTTCTCAATCGTACAGGGGATTGTTTGTCCTGTAAATATTTCAGTGTTACTATCTTTAAAGCAATTAGTCCTTTAATGTCTTTAATGTCTCACATCAACTCGGCGCCCAAATACTGTGAAACTATTCGATCAAATAGTCCTCTTTATAAATTTCGATAGAACAATAAGAAGACGGAGTTGATCTGAAAAATGTAATGTATTTGCACTATGCATTTTGAGCAATCCGGTCATTTGACACTATTGGTTTTGAAGCCATCTAGGCACATGTTCAATGACCCTTGATTGCACTGCTCGATTACTCCTCTCTGTGTATGTATGTCCACACAAACATGTAAATTGATGAATACAACTGGTATAATAATAAAATCTTTGAAATTACCGAGTCAATATCAGCCTACTGGAAGTCCTAGTTTCTATGAGATTACTGACACACTGTACTGACTAATGCTAACTAGAATCAAGTAATCAAATAAACTAACAAATTCCCTAAAACCAATAACATCCCATTATAAATCAAATCACAGTACCAATAATAGTTATATGCAACAGAAAAACAATAGTCCTCAAGGAGTAAAACACTTCATATAAAAACCAAATTTAAAAACTGGTTAGTCACAAATTTTGTCATTTGAATACAGATAGTATCTCTCCATATTTGAGTTCTCTTAAATTTTCCTTAATTCAATGAATGTTTTGATTTCATCAACTCTGTACCCAATTATTCTTCTGATTGTGTTGCTAGCACGATTATATAAAAGATAGTCTGTATTATTGAAAATAATAATCCACTATATGTATATAAGTCCGTCATATTGAACGATTTAGTAAAGTGTTGTATTCTCAGAAACTAACTAGTTTTCATAAACATTGCCAAATATCTAAAGCTTGACCCCATTCTATAAAGACATTATCACCAGTTTCAGACAAAATATGATACGAATTGCATTGATTCATATATAAGAAAATTATGCAAATAATGTATAAGAATGTGAAATTCGAATCTAATTTTCCGGCATCCGTATCCAAGTAATTTAATTGCATAGTATAAGAAGAATCACATTATGGTTGTTACATTGTTTGTGAGTAGTTAACATTTTAAAGATTTCCACGTGCTTAACTATCCTTAAAGAGACTCAGTTATTTGTCTATTCAATAAACTAACTATTTATGCTCTATGAGTGACCTAAATGAATACATAATTGCTTCAGAATAATGATAGTTTCAGACTAAATTGAATTCAACAGAAGTTGAAGAAAACAATCTGTCTGATAAAATTTCAATCATTAAACTCATATTTCAACAATGAACAAAATAATCAAGATTAGAATTCACCGAATCTTCAAGCTTAATTTAATCATCATCATAATAATAATTTTTCTTTATCATGAAATGCGAAATTGTGTCTAGTGAACTTGGATATTATATTACGAGTTGAATATGGAGATATTTAGGAACGTATATTCCAGACCACTGGTGCTACTTTAACGTGGTGGTTGGGCTTGCTTATCAGGTTGGACCAACCGAGCTCTACTAGCTGAAATCATCATTTCTCTAGATGCTATCAGGCTTGACAGGTGGGTTGAAGTACGGTAAGACTAAAAGCGGCAAACACAAGGTTCGAAGGCAAAGTCGTACTGCTGACTATACAGAGGTGTGGCGGCAGTAAGGTGCTTCTCTCACACTACCAGCATAACAGCGAGGCCGCTTTCTCACAAGGAGTGGTGGGGTTGGAAACGGTTGGCGCTGAAGATGAACACTTCACATTTCTCCACGGATATCCGTCTTCGGAACGGTAAGTTCTCAACAAGTACGGATCTAAAACAAACGTCATCCACAAAATGTTTGTGAGTGACCGTCCTCAAGCATTTGTCCGTTGTGCACCGCAGTCACGCTCTCAGGTCACTAAGACCACCCCTAAACCATTTTCCTCTTCTGGTACCTCTTGAAGAACCTTTCCACGATGTGGGCAACCGGGGAGTGATAAACGCATTCATACCTCTGACAACACTCATCATCCCTGTATTCATAATCAGTCTTCCTATTCAATTTCTATTATTCGTCCCACATCGACTTTCAACTCTAAATATCCTCTTTTGACTTCCTCCTCACACGTCACACGTCATCGCATTTTCATCTTTTCTTCCTACGCTTCCACTGACTGCAGCCCAGATGAAGTTAAAGATGAATTTTACAGATGGCTTTGTGAACTTCAAAAAGCTGGACGCTCAGACATGGTACTCATAGCAGGCGACTTCAATGCTCAAGGAGGTAGCTTAAACTAAACAGAAAGACATTTGTGTGGGTATTTTATTATTCCGGTTCAGCGAACATTTAATGGTGACCGTCTGCTGCA